CAGAAGCCGATAAACAAATGACTAAATATCTTATCTCCCACATATTATCTGCCAAATAGTTGATAAACAATGCAATATTAATAATTAAATCTCTATTTGCTATTTATTTTACTAATTGTTATTTTTAATTATAGTAAGTATCTTATATTATTTTAATTATCAATAACAAAGAATATCAAATTATCATCATTACATCATTATTGATAATTCAATATTCTTTGTCAAATATAAATAAGTTTGCTTTGCATATTTAAGCAAGATAATATTAACGATAAAGTATCAAAAAGCACAAAAAATTCAAAAAATATATGAAATTTTATCTGAAATATTGAGAAGATGGAATAATTAAGAGAAGATATTGAGTATTAGAACACCTAGTGGCAACAGGTTATATTCCGTAGTAGATATGGAGAAGATATTTGGAAATCAAGAAAGAATAAATAAAAAGAAAAAGATCTGTTATGCACAAGTCAGTTCAGAAAAGCAAAAAGAAGATCTTGACAGGTAATGCAAGTACCTCAGGCAAAAATATCTAGATCATAAACTCATCAAGAATATCAGATCAGGTCTCAACTGGAAATACAAAGATTTTACATCTATTTTAGAATAATCATACCAAAGAGATATTGAGAAGGTTGTAATTACTCACAAGAACCGTCTCTGCTATTTTATTTTTGAACTAGTCAAATAGATCTTTAGTAAACATGATACAAAGATCATAATACTTGGTTCAGATATCAATGTTGATAATACTGAATCTGATAAGCTTGCTGAGGATCTATTATCAATTATTACTATCTTTATAGCAAGACACAATGGACTCAGATCAGCTAAAAATCAAAAATAATGAAGAGAGATTGAAAACAAGAAAGATACAGATTTATCCAACACTCAAAGAAAGAGAAAAGCTAAGAAAATGGATGAGAACCACGAGATGAACATACAATAAAGTTCTTAAGATGGTACAGGATGATGGGATCATAGACATGAGTATCATATGAAGGCATTATCTAAATAATGAATGTTTCATAACTAAAGAACTTTTATAGGTAAAAGAGACTCCTAGAAAAGTACATTCATATATGATCAGATAATTAATAAGCATATATAAAACAAACAAGAAGTTGCATAGAAATAATTTTCGAATGAAGTACTGATCAAAGAAGAATCAAATACAAATCATCTCAATTCTTGCTAGGAATTAGAATAGGAACAGAGAAGAATATGTATTTCTAAAGGATATTATCACTTCAGAACAATCACTAAAGGTTAATAATATGGTAAACATTATTATGAATCACCTAGAATATTTTTACTTGTGTATTTCCATTCCTCTAGATATTATTGATAACTAAGATGATGTTTGGAAAAAGGTAATCTCACTTGATCCAGGTGTTCGCATATTTATGACTAGTTATGATCCTGATGGTTAATTAATCAAGTAGGATAATGATAATCTTAACAAAATATTCAAACTATTCAAGAAATATGACAAATTACAGAGTGACAAGGATTTTGTGTTAGGGTGAATAAACAAGAGAAAAAGATTTAGATTAAAAAAAATATTGCGAGTTATATAATGAATCCATTATTTAATAGATGAGTGTCATCATTAGCTTATGAGATAATTATACATGAATTACAAGATCATCTTGTTACCTAAATTTGAATCTTTGAGAATGATTTTAAAGAATAAGAGAAAGATTCAGTCAAAGACTACTTGTGCAAATGCTAACTTGATCATATTTCAGGTTCTGGATGTTCTTATAACATAAGGCAAGAGAGTTCTATATTTGCAAGATTATTAAGTATACCAAGAAATATACATTCAAGATATGTGAGTGTTATGAATTCATGAAGAATGATCTTGGAAGATCAAAAACATTCAAATGTAATTTGTGTAAAATGAGAATGGATTAGGACATGAATAGTACTAGAAATATCTTGCTCAAATATTTGACAGAGAGTTAGGCTTTGGCCTGACTTTAGGACTTGAATTTATATGGGATACAATATGTATAGTAAAGACTAACTTTATTTATTCATATTAGATTTAATTTTAAGGGTTGAAAATAGCATAATATCTATATTTCATTGCAGATCAAATAGATATATCAAATATTTAAGATGAGATAATGAGATCTAATATAAGTATTCGAAGTTATTTGAGCATAATCTAACATTTTTATTATGTTTAGGATTCTAATCTTGGCATAATGGATGAATTTATTAAGAACTTATATGATGCCAAGCAAATTCTATTGAAATCAATGATTACTAAGATTAGCAAAGAAAATATTTAAGAAATATAAAAAATCAAAGACATATGATCTGAAAACAAATACTTATATTTCATAGTAGTGATTGATTCTATTTCTTATCTTTGTTCATGCATGTCTAATATATCTCATGATATTATTTGTTACTATTATTTTCAAGTCATGATATATTCAAGAGTTGCAGGATTTTATATTCAAATGGTATCTATTTGGTAGTATAATGATAAATAAAAAGATAAAGATATAATCATGAATGCCTGCTATTTTGCCAATCAAGAATCAGCGAAGAATTAATTGAATGAAATACTTATATCAAATTCCTCAACCATATCCAAGATTGTAATATTTATTTTACATCATGCAGTACAATGAAAAGCTAAATATGGAGAGGTGTGGGAACTGGTATGACGTGCAGTTCAACTTGTTATTGATCATAATGATCATAGTGAAATGGTAGTATGGTTAAAAGAGTTCATTGACTGGCATAAAAAAATAGTAACTACACTTACTAGGTCTGTGTGAAATCAAAATCTTCAAGAATTCTTCAAAATTCAACCTAATGATACAAATAAGAAAAATAAACCTGAACCAATCAAAAATTTATTAGTATCATAATAAAAGAAACATCCAGAAACTAAACATTATAAATCTATAACTGAAAAAAAAGGAAAAATACGCTTATATATCTGTAATATCTGCGGTCAACTGAAATATAATAATATAATATATCAAAATCGCTAAGGTATTTACTCATTTTTTATTTATTAATTCTCTATTTAACTAACTCACAAATTAGATTATCACAATATATTAACCCTAACCCAATCATTTTAGATATATGATTATCATATTTCACCTAATAAAAATCACTATGTATCAGGTTTTTTAATAATCAATCAAATAAAAATTTTGAAATTTCCGGTCCTAGTCAAACTAATTTTTCGAGATTATTCCTGGAACAGGGTGTTCTAATTAGATTCATCCTTTAAATTAAATATTTATAAATTATTAATAAATTTTTATTATTATAATTAATATATTAATTATATTTATTTCAGATTATAAAATTTTTAAGAAATATTTAATTATTAAAATTTTAATTTACAAAAATTAAAAAATTTAAATTATTATAATAATAATAATTAGAAAATAAGAAAATAAAGAAATAAATAAAAATATTAAAGAAAAATAATAATTATCTAAATTAATAATTATAAAATATATAATAATTATTAATATAATAATATATAATTAATTTAATTAATTTAATATATAATAATTATCTATATATTTTATATAAAATTAATCTGAAAAGTAATATAAACTTATAAACTTAATATAAAAATATAAAATAAAATTTGATCTAAAAAAAGTAATTTAATTAAAATTTATTATATATATTATTTATAAATTCTAAAAAAATAAATAAAATTAATAAATAAAATATAAATTTTTAGATTTGTTATTTAAAACTTATCTATTATTATTATTAAAAAAATTATATTTATAACTTTTATTTAAGATTATTTTTTTAATTAATATTACTATTTGATATGATTTTAGAATTATAATTCCTATAATACTTAATATTATATAAATTAAGCAGTTTATTTTATAGAACTATAATATAATCTTTTTAATTATATCTATCTTTATAATAAGAAATAAAGTTATAATTTAAGCTATATTATAAAATTAAGTAATAAAATCAAATCAATTCTTTATATAAGTAAAATATTCATGATATTTAATATATATAAACTTTGACAAGAATATTACTTAGCTTATTCATTAATAAATATAATAGCTTTTAAATTTTTTTATTAAATAAGAATCTGTGTTATTATATAATTCAATATAATTAATTAATAATATCTTATTTAACTTCTATATATATATAATTTTATATCTCACTATTATTTCCTAAAAATTTTATATCAGATATATATAACTCTAAAAAGAAAAGTATCTCTATAAGTAATACTTGTATGCATGAAATATTTGATATTAATAAATATCAATTTATATATTTTATCTTGTATTTGATAGAATTGCTCAATACTTATCTATATTTTGACACAAATTTCATGCTTCTTCTTCTATATGAACTGCTATCTGATTTATTTTAAAAAAGGTTACTGTTAACATTTGAACTTTACAATTGGAATTTAGTAAAAATATGATACAAAGATACTCTTGATATAACGACTCTTCGATATAACGAAGTCTAATTAAAATCGCGATATAATGAACTTGAGTTCAGGCATAATTTATTATAAAATAATTCCGCTCGATATAATGTACACAGTGGCTCTCTTTATAGTGTACCTCCTTTATAGTGGAGTAAACTCGTGATATAGTGGATAATATCCAAAACTACCTTTAAATAAAATCCATTCGATATAGTAAATTTACTAATAAACTCTCGATATAGTGAATTTTTGAAAATTTTTTACTATTAAATTTTTTTGTTACACTATAAAGAGAGTTACTGTGTTTAATGAATTTTCACATATAGATCCGACTACTTCGTTATATCAAGAGTGGCTTTGGTCGGATCATGTGATTCCGACCGTTCGCCCCTTAAAATTAATTGACCAATCATTCCAGAATTCACACGATATAAACAATAAAAGTGTGTTTTACTTGATCATTACAGGTTTTACATGAAAATAATTAATAAAAAGCAGATTTAACCCTGTCACGTTATATAATTGTACGTTATATTGAATGTTTTTTCTCAAATTCTTTCATATATTTAATTAATGCTTCTACGCCTTCTAAAGGCATAGCGTTATATATGCTCGCTCTAATCCCACCTACACTACGATGGCCTTTTAATTGATACATATTCAACTTGTCCGCACCACTCAAAAACTCTTTTTCTAATTCCGGTGGTTCAATTTTGAACGGCACGTTCATTCGCGAGCGTACCAACCTATCTACAGGCGACCGGTAAATTTTTGATTGATCAATCGTGTCGTAAATTGCTTGCGATTTCGTGGCGTTCATAGCTTCAATGGCTTCCACACCACCCAGCTCCAACAACCACTCGAAAACCAAATCTGCCATATAAATAGAGAACATCGGTGGTGTATTGTACAGTGAATTATTGTCTGCCATCGTTTTGTAGTCGAGCATGGTGGGTATGATGGGAACATTATGATGTTGCTGCCCAACAGACTCCACAGGTGTTAATAAATCCTTGCGTACTATGACCAATGTCACTCCAGCTGGGCCTATATTTTTTTGTGCACCCGAATAAATTACGCCAAATTTGCTTATATCTACGCGACGTGATAATATGTTTGAGGACATATCGCAAACAAGCGGTACAGAAGGATCGATTTCGGGTATATATGGAAACTCAACCCCATTCACTGTCTCATTATCACAGTAATATACGAAAGCAGCACTGGGTCCACTCAGTTTCCATTCGGAATTGGGCGGAATTGAACCATAAGCACCTTTTGATTTCTTCACATCAAAAACTATATTTACATTTCCATATATCCGCTTTGCTTCCTGGGCTGCTTTAGCTGACCATGACCCAGTTACCAAATAATCAATTGGCGGATTAAAATCACTATCGTTAATGCTATCACCCAATTTTGCCCGTTTTGCCGCAAGCAAGTTATATACAATCGCTGAAAATTGCGTGTGTCCTCCGCCTTGCATAAATAGAATTTCGTAGTTTTCGGGGATTTTAAGTAGTGTTCTAAAATCGTTTTTGGTTTTATTGAGAAGGTTTTCGAATTCTTTGGAGCGGTGGGATAATTCCATGATCGACATTCCTAGGTTATTGTAGTTTGTGAACTCTGCTTGTGCGCGAAGTAACACAGACGAAGGAATCATGGCTGGGCCAGCACCAAAGTTCCACACTTTTTTTTCGGCCATTTGGTCAATGAAACTATGCTATGAATATCGATGTCGTAAATAACGATAAAATAAAAAATAAAATATAGATTTTGGGATACATAAAATCACAAAATCGGAAAATCGGCAAATCGTTTTTTGATTTTGATAATCTGCAAGCTGCTCATCTCATCATGTGAATTAAATTTTGACCATTAAAAAACACGTTTGAATATATACCATAATTTTCAGAGACACAATCTTTTCAATGAATGATTACAAGGTATAAAGGTAAGAGATGTATTGGCAAAGAAATTCAAATTCTAATAATCAACACTAAATCACCTAAACTAATGATTTATACAAAGATTTATGAAATAGTATCGTTGCATTAGCCAATTTATTACTTTCATCTCATGATCATTTCGCGTTTTTTTTTTCCAAACTGACCTGTCTGATAAGTTGTAGTAAGAGTTTTGCGGTCATTGGGTGTGAGTCATCAATTTCCAAGAAAGCTGGAGTCTCGCGAACTTTAGCGAAATTTTTGACCACGTAATTCATCACAATTTCTTTGACATCAGGCCACTTCCAAGCTGCATCAAACAGAATACGCGCGGCATTATCTTCATTAAGAATCTTTAATAATTTCTCTTTTGCCCGCTCACGTAGATCCTGAATCAGATATTTATCACTAATCGCCATCATGGCTAATGGTGAGGTAGGAGAACCATCCTCAACACTGAAACCAGGGTTGTCTGTGTAAAGATATCTCAACATCCCTAAGAATGTATCATATTCGAAATCTGGGACGTTGATTACATATTTTATCTGATTATTTGAAATCGAAATATCAGATGTTTCAGGAGTCGTTCCATTGGTGTTCGTACCATTGGTGCCGTTGATCGTTACTCCTTTTACTGGGGATGATGATTTTTTCTTGGATCGTGTTCGAGTATTTGGAGATTGTGATGATGATTGGGTAGTATCTGATTGAATATCTTCTGATTCGGCCCATTTTTGTTGAAAGAAATTACGAAAATATTCGCTACGTTTTGAGAGGATTGCACTGCTGGCATATACCACTTGACCACTGACGTTGAATTGAACATCAACCGAATCTTGTTTGTTTATCTCGCCAAGCCATGCATCATATAACTCATTAGGAATTCTTCGTCCGGGAAATGGTGCTGGAACTAATTTTGAATTCGTTTGAAATTCCGAGAAAGTGACACCAATTAGAAAATTATGAGCGAGCTTTGTTTTTTTGTAAAAAAATCCTGCCAAAGATCAAAAGATTTTAAATTTAGTATCATCACGTGATAATTGAACATCACATCATTTAAATCAACCAATTAAAATTACCTCTATATTTCATCTCGGGTGTCAATTTATCCATTTCTAAAGCTAATTTACCGACATATTGTTGATTCCTGATTGTTTGAAAGGCCAATCATTTTTTCGAAATGACTTTATTATAAGTTAAGAGAGCTGGATAATTCAAAGGCCATTTGAAAAAAAAATAAAAAATAAGGCCATAGAAATTCATATATCAATAACTTGCCCTTCCGAATGTACATTTATAACATAAATTGTTGCAGATAACTCGTGTCGCCGTGACCAAGGCAAGATGGACTCTAACTCGTCTTGGTTTGGAATTACGTGAAGACGAACGACAAAGCATTCCGGTTCATTTGGATATGTCTACAAATGTCATTAAAATATTGTTATAAACATATAATAATCATCTTTGTATCTCTAAAATCACATAAAGAAGGAATGTGACCAAATAAAAATGTTTCCACTAATCTAATTTTTCAGAATACCTCGCAATATTCCAACTGCCAAAAGAGGTCGTCTGAAGTCGCGAACGGAGGGGTTAAAGCATTCGCTTTACTCTGGTTTAGTTGGAACTCAAAAGTTGCTCGTGCTGTGCTTGATGTAGCCATTGAGGTCAAACCGTGTTATTAATACGTGATCAAAGACAAACAAATTTCAACTTTTTAAATACTTTTTGTCCCCTGCTTTTTTATTTAAATGAATAACTGATCTTCACTGCGGTAGATCACAGGGGTAAATTACAAATGATTCGCTGTGCAGGGGTAGCAAAAAATCATTACATCGTGAGAAAATGTAGATCATTATATCCAAAAAATAATTTCATTAGTTATTCTAAAAAGACAATATTAATGACAATCCCCAAATTCACTGCTCTATTGTCCTTGACGTTTTCTAAAAATAAAACAAGGGCATTTTTCAAAATTTAATTTCATTCTATCGTAAGTTATTCCAAATATTAGGATAAACATACCTAGGAGCACATCGAATAATATCGTCCACACGTAAAATCATCTCTGCTGCTTCTGATGCACTTGTAAGAACTTGACGTTTGAGTTTAAACGATTCGGTGATTCCAAGTTCGCGTACATCCGCCACTTCGCCTTCCATCAAATCTATTGTAACAAATCGGATTTAATGTGAAATAATATACAGCTTAATTTTTTCAATTTCAATCTAACCTAGTCCATATGTGGATTTGCCTTCGTAATGAGCGGCGCGTAATTTAGCCACCAAATCGGAGCTATCGAATCCTCCATTATCTGCCAAGATTGTGGGAATCTTTAGACGAAAGAGAATTAATGTGAATCTTTAATGTTGAGTCTAATCATAAGCAATTAAAATAACGGTATTTATTTACCTGTCTTAATGCTTTAGCAAAAGATTCGATAGCAATTGCTTTTTTGCCGGGCGTTTTAGCGGCGATTTCATCGACAGCTTTCGACATTAACATTTCGGAACAACCTCCACCTAATACAGTCCCTGTCTCTTTTATTGTCTGTGTCAATACACTTAAAGCATCATGTAAAGATCTCTCGGCTTCATCTAGTAGTTGTCTTGTCGCGCCACGTAGCACAATTGTGCACGCTTCACCCGCTGCAACTCCAGAGAACTTAATGAGCTAAACATTCAAAAGTAATTAGCTAATATTCTCATTTCAAACTTTCTTTTCCTCATATTCAAACCTTATCTTCGCCGATCATTATTTCTTCTATTAAGTCACAATGACCGAGTTTAACAAGCTCCGGGTGATCAAATGTGGAAACAATCTCCCCACCTATTTTGAATTATTCAATTTCTATTTGATAAAAATAATTGAACTGTGTAAATTGATACATTACCAGTAACAAGTGCCAATCTTTCTACACCATCAAAATCGGCATGCTCGATCGACATAATACCGGCGTCAGCGAACAACGATTCAGGCCAATTATAAATTAATTGACGATTTACAAAGCAGTTAATTCCATGAGCCTTGATTTTTTCAACTTTTTCCTTCATTTTATCCTATATAAGGTGTAAAGGAAAGTCTCGGTTAAATTAGGATAGAGAAACGAGACGTCTTAATAATTCATTTTGAAGCTTACGCGTTCGGCTCTTTCCAATTCTGCCAACTTCCCTGTAGAGTCGACGCGAACTCTAGCACCAAATATTTTAATTTTATCCGTGTCCATTGCTATTTTTAATATAAAGCATTGTTGAATAATTCTTTTCTTTAAAATGTAAACGTGTGCAATTCCATAATAACAACTAACGTGTGTTGGCAATCAATATGTTGACATTTTCAATTCTTTTTGGTTGATTCACTCCAATTTTTTTGTCCAAAATGAAACCTAAGGAAAAAAAAGTGAGACTAGTTTAGTTATAAAAAAAATATTATTTTCAAAATTTGTGCAGGGCTAACCTTCATCAAGATATGAATCGACTAATCTACCACCAGCCCTTTTAATAATTTGTATATGCTCTAAATTAGTGCTTCCCTACGATAAAATGAAGAAAGAAAGCGTCAATCTTTTGTTGACATATAAAAATAAAAGAAATTAGTTTATATACCTTGAGCCTTAGAACAGCATCGACCGCAAGATTCGAGAAATACTCTTTATCTTGATTTAATACTTTCGAACTTAAAGTTGTGCGAGCAATATTAAATAGATCTTTTCGAAATGCTTCTGGATTTTGTCTATTATAATAATAACAAAGAAAAGAATAAAAACATATTTATTCCTAAAAAAGAACAATAATTCTTCACGTACCCATTATCAATCACCGAAGCTTCTAAAGCTTTGTAGGCAGCATTACTGGCGATGCGATATCCTTCAATAATAGTTTGGGGATGAATTTTTTGATTTACCAATTTCTCGGCTTCGCGCAGCAATTCCGCGGCAAGCACACAAACAGACGTTGTTCCATCACCAACTTCGTCATCTTGAACTTTAGATATATCTATAATTGTTTTGACCGGTTAAATGACAAATTTTTTTTTGATCTTTCGAGGATTCAATTATATACGCGTGTTCGATCGTTATTATTGATTGTCAAAAAGGATACTGACAAGAACTTTTGCTGCAGCATTGTCAAGTGCAATTGATTTAAGAATCGTTGCTCCATCATTTGTAACAGTTATGTCACCATTCGATAAAGATTGAAGAATTTTGTCCTGAGTATCAAAAATATGGGAAAAAGCATAAGAACACGAGCTCGTCATTAACAACAGTGTGTAACGAACTCAGACCTGTGTAATAGAATATTTCGTACCATTCCCTTTGGACCTAAGGTACTTTTTACCAGATCACCGATGGCTATCGCTCCAATAAAAGACGACTAACAAACACAAAATCCAAAAAGGAATTTGACGTTAGGATTGAAAAAAAATTATATATATACGATTCTGAAAGAATAGAACTTACAAGACGCGCATTTTCAGCACGTTCCTCTGTTGCCTCGTCTTGAAAAATTTGTACAGGAGCTAAAGACTATACAAAAGAATAGAGGCCTTTATTTGATGCTCAAAACAGCGATACCGAAGTAAATCAAGATTTAAGGCGACTTTACCATATTGTAGAAAGCAGAGAAAATGATCGGCTAAAAAAAGCATGTAATCGACATAATTAATTCACGAAATTCCGTGATTTTTGATTGGTTTGTTGAAATCTTGATTCGGATGTATTAAATTTACAATTTATTTCTTATGAACAAATGATTAAATTATGAATACTAGAATTATCACTAGCTCCTTAAATACATGAATAAAAACTAGACATCAATCAAGGTTTCCGTAGGGGTTTGTGAATTAGAGGCCTCCACATTATTATTGACATTTGGATTATTTGTATTCGATTGTGACTGTTCAGTAATGGGAGGTTTCTCGCTCAAAACACTACAACAGAATTTACATTTAAATGCGTTTTTGGGAACTGATGCTTTACACCAGGAACAAAGCATCTCTTTAACGTCGTCCTCTTTGGCACCTTCCGTAAGTTCACGAAACTTCTCCGCTTCTTTTTCAATTGCACTGACTCCTGTAAACATACGCATACATTAACAATATGTTTTATCAGATTTCGTCAATTACACGAGATGCAATCCGTCTTACCATACATAATCCAAAATAAGGCGAACGCGAGAATAAAGAATTGAATCACATTGTTAAGAAATCGTCCCACATTTTCTGTGCTATATTTTTTCAAGGTTTAATGTTTAGATTCAAAATTCGATTTTTAATGGAAACACGTTTTTTTTACGGGATATTTCAACTTACACCGCACCATCAGCTTGTGCTTCTTCTGGCGTGTTATACTTTTGGTCGGGATGCTGACCAGGTCGAAGAATAATAAACCAGTTTACGAGATTTGAACCTTAAAATTTAATATCGAAAGCGATAAATTTTCTCAAAAGATATAATGATGAAAGCTATTGAAGATAATTCGAATTTCATACCTCGAAATAACAAACCAAGAGGTGGTGTCAAAATATCAATCTAATTAAGAATATTTGTTATATATCTCATTTATAATATTGTTTCTAAACACGTTATAATGGAACAGAGAAATCAAATAAAAATTACAATACCACAAAAGAATTAACCAAGGATGAGAAAGCCCCACCAATAATAATACCTAATAGCAACAACAATCATCGAATTGAACTTTGAACTTTTTTCATGAAAACCATTTCATTTTGAAAATTTCAAGAAAAAAAACTTACCAACACCCAAGTCAACTACATTCCCGCCTCGTTTGTTAATAAAGTCATTGAACCGTTGCTTCACATTTTTACAGCAACCCAAACACATTTTGTCTGTAGTTTTTGACTCGTAGTATTATCAGATATCCCGTGTAAGAAAACTAGTCAAAGTGAAGTTCTAAATTCGCTTTCGAGACATCACTATCGTTCAACTACCTTCCGTATTACTCAAATAAAAAACTGGTTTTTACTTCCCGTCTGCATTGTAAAAATACATGACATAGAAAATCTATGATTATCTTATCGGCATTTGGCTAAATTCCATTTCGAGAAAAAACAAAACTGTCGTTTCCATCTAACATTACTGTATTTGAAAAATATGTAACAATAATGCATAGGCCATCAAATTATGTTAAAATTTTGAGATTCCATTAATCAAATTGCAAAATAATTTTTAACTATTTAATATATATTTTGTCTTTGAGTTTTTCATCTTTTATTAAATTTATCGTTATTCCCCTAAGTGCATCTTTTTTATAAATACATGCATTTTATATGTTCTTTTTAAATAGGTGTTACGACTCTTTATAAATGTACACCCTCTCTAAATGACACATACTTTCTGATTAAATAATATGATTCCAAGAAAAGATGTACTTTGAATTATGTTTTTTTAATAAGTGTTATAAGTGTTTAACATAACTATTTCTGAGCATATGTCGAGCAAAATCTTTTTGCCCATTGGCGTGTATTGTCGAGCAGACTTATACAAACTTGAATAAGATTTATCAATATATCTATACTTTTATCTCTTGAAGCTCTTCTAGTCCAACAACACACAAAGAAATATTTAGATTATCGAAACAATCTAAACAGTAACAATATCAACAATATCCTATTAACGCCAATTAAATTTAATATCACATGATTTGAGATTTTGACCAATCAAATCTCGTAAGATCTTACCTGGTTCAAAATCTTCTGTATCCCCACCCCTACAGGATCGTATACTATACCACCCAGTACGGGTTAAGATTACCCTTTATTAAATCATACATTGCATTTTTTCCATCTCGTCCTTCTCGACTTTTCACTCATTGTTCACGAACGTATACATACTTACACGTGTCATGGCTACAGTATTATCAGATCGCCAAAGAGACGAGCTGTAAGTAGTCTCCGAGAAGCAGAATACATGATTTGATAATTTTTTCTTTGAAAATTGCATTTCTATGTGTTATTGTAACCATTCTCTCGAATGAAAAACGTTTTATCTTTGTCATACCAAACTAAAAACGAATTATTTTCCCGAGAAATTGATAAATTAATAATATTCAATCAAAACTGAATAATGAACGAATGCATCTTTAATTAACATTTTTCATTAATAATAGTCACAAAGCGATCCTCGATTATCTCTTGGCTAACGGGTTTACAGAATCTTTCAATTCTTTAAAAAACGAGGCACATCATGAAGATTTTAATCCGGATCCTTCACAAAAATATGCCGGACTGCTGGAAAGAAAGTGGATTGCTGTTATTCGGCTTCAGAAGAAGGTAAAAAGATGATTGAGCTTGTTTTAATAATCGGAAAATATAAAGAATCGATGCCCTAAATATTTATTTTTCTAATTAAAAATAATAACAATCCAGGTGATGGATCAAGAAGCTAAAATCACACAATTACAAGAAGAAGTAAATAATGCACCACTCAGAAAACAGAATACCGCGGTAGAGTTCTTACCAAGGGCACCAGAGAAATATGCATTGACTGGACATAGAAATCCTGTTACACGTGTTGCGTTTCATCCAGTGTTTTCCGTGTTAGCGTCCGCATCTGAGGATACCACCATAAAAATCTGGGATTATGAAACTGGTGAATTTGAACGAACGTTAAAAGGTCATACCAAATCGGTTCAAGATATTGCTTTTGATCCAAAGGGTAATTTCTTAGGTATGTCGTAATTTTTTACTACACAATGACTTTCGATATAACGGGTGGGTTCGGGAAATTAGAGAAAAATTTTCTAAGATCCGCTATATTGGTAAATCCGTTATATGAGCGAAATTTATTATTGCCGTTTTGAAATCCGTTATATCAGGTTTTAATTAGTCTCCGCTATCGAGAGTCCCCGTAATTTACCATTTATCATTTATGGGTTGCACTGCTTTCTACTTTACTAATTTTTATTCTTTTTATTATTAAATAGTTTCCTGTTCAGCAGATTTAACAATAAAAGTGTGGGATCTACAAAATGAATATAAATGTGTGAAAACTTTATACGGACATGATCATAGTGTTTCTTCGGTTTCATTCTTGCCCTCTGGAGATTTTATTGTTTCCGCATCACGTGATAAATCGATTAAATTATGGGAATTTGCGTCAGGGTATGGCGTTCATTATTACTTTTCATATTCTTTTCTAAGATTTTTGATTTATTTTCTTTTGCTTTTCTTATTCATCAACAATAGATTTTGTAAGAAAACATTTACTGGCCATTTAGAGTGGGTACGCTCCGTTACACCTAGCGAAGATGGTAAATGGCTTGTTACTAGCTCTAATGATCAGGTTAGAATAAAAAAATGGTGTTCTTTGATTGTATTTTTATTTTACATCTTTAATTTGTCGAATCTTTCAATAGACTTCACGTCTTTGGGAAGTATCCACTGGGGAATGCAAAATGGAATTCCGAGGTCATGATCACGTAGTAGAATGTGCTATTTTTGCCCCAATTATTGCATATCCTTACATAAGAGAATTGGCTGGTTTGGAAAAAGATGTAAGTTATGAAGTATTTTAACCTTTTGTCTTTATTAATATATTAGTTTACTTATCATTTCTTGATTTTTTTATTAAAAAAAGTCTAAAGCTAATAGTTCAAAAGATCAACAATTACCAGCACAATATGTTGTAACCGGTTCAAGAGATAAAACCATAAAATTATGGGACCCAACGGGACAATGCATAAAAACTTTGGTAAAGTTTATGAGTAAATTTTTCTTAAATATACTACATAAGATATATAATTTAATAAAGCTATTGCGATTGGATATTTTATGTTTTTAGGTTGGTCATGACAATTGGGTTCGTGGATTAGTTTTCCATCCTACTGGTAAATATCTGCTCAGCGCATCCGACGACAAAACCATAAAGATATGGGACATCAAAACAGGAAGATGTACAAAAACGCTCAGTGATGCACATTCTCACTTTGTCACATGTATCGCTTTCAACCCTGTGACTCCTGTGGTAGCCACCGGCTCCGTGGATCAGACTATAAAGGTTTGGGCTCCGTATAGGTAAAAACGTAAGGAACAAAAAAGATAAACAATAACTTAATAGAAATACGGGTAATTAATAATTCAATAGCTTTTTTTTTCTTTATTTAAGTATAACAAGTAATATAAAAACCATTTTCATTACTGTTATTGTTGTTTGTTTGGTTTTATGTTAAAATTTTTCTGAGCTTTATTTTCGCGTTTGCGGGAGGGCTTAAATAGTATATATGTTTTATATAGAGCTTATTATTATATAGATATTTATAGCTATATATACATATGTAATAAATACGGCAAGTAGAAGAATGGTAATTGATATTACGTATTCATTTGATAGAAAATCAGTCGTTGCAATTGGGTTGGTGCTCAATTTTTAATAACATTTGAAAAAATTTTCTTCGGATAGAACAAAACATTGAAAGTATCCCTCAAAGACCCCGCAACTCCATCGTTTTTCTTAATGTAACATTATAAATTTTTGCCACGCGCGAGGAGAGCGCAAAGTCATACGAAAAAGCCTATTTTCTGTATCCATTTGCTAAAGAAATTAGCATATCGTATGGAAATTATCATTGAAAGTTAAGCTGCCCCTTCGTGTACCTGGTTAATCATGTTCTCGTCTCATTGTGGAGTCCAAGGATGACTATTATTTGGCATTCAGTTGCATTATTTATTAAATTGGTGCAGATCCACTAAGTATTAACTAGCTCGAATGGCATTGGGGGGATGATTTGCTTAAATGTTAATAAACCTGATTTCTTGTTCATAAGGTCTTTCATAATTTTCACCTGATTAATGTCCTCTTTGAATGGCGCAGCCATAATTTTAACCAGAAATCATTAAATGCTAATAACTTTTATTATTATACAGATTGTTTTAAAAACGATTAACCTAAGTCGATATAATTGAAGATACTTTTGGTTTTTATTCGAATTTTTTTCAAAAATGATAATGTATTTTTTTTATATTAAAATGAACATAAAAATAAAATAAAAAATGAAACAATGTAAAAAAATGAAAAAAATATGAAACCAGGTATATCACACCTTCAAATATTAACACTATTACCAAATTATAAAATAATCGCCGATAGCCGATATCTGCAATTCATCCCAACCCGCAACCATTCACTTTTTTAACTAAATAAATTAAATATTGATTAATTGAATCGTTCATTTAATTTACTAAAAATGAAAATAAAGAAACATCCTCTTGTCTATGTATTTGTGTTGCTATTCCGATAAAATAACAGTAATAATAAAAAAATAATACATCAAAAAAGTTATCATCTCTAAAAATGCAAATAACTAAAAGAAAAAGAAAACAACCACCACCGACAATAATGAGTAAAAAAAATAAAAATTAAGTGATTATCATGACAATGAGTAATGAATGTTGAAGGCTGATTCTGAGGATATTTAAAATATCCATAGTTCACATGTCAATATAATCTGATGATGAGTTATTACAGAAATAAATAATAATAAAATTAATACGTATAATAAATTTTGGTTTAATTTATGTATTTAAACCTAGTGCCGGTTGTCAGGAATAATATACAAAATTAAACGAGAAATAAGGAACCAGGAGAAAAATGCAAAATAATAATAGCAGCAATTATTGTAAATATTTGGCCATACCAAAGCTTAAAAAACCGGGAATGGCGACGGATTTATGAAGGTGATTTTTATGTATGAATATTATATCAATGTATATTTATATACTTTAAGAAAAATGAATATGATAATGAAAACGTGATAATAAATAAATAAATAAATTATTATGGTTCGTTCAATTCACGCAGGAAAACCGTATCCGAAGCATGATCTCGTACATTTGGAGCAAAATTAACAGGTTGGATTTTTTCTTTGAAATTACGAGATGGCTGTAACAAAGTATCAATAAATTTAAATTTAATTAAAAATATCAATCGAAAAAGCATTACATATAATAAATTAAACAATAGACTTACAGATAACTTCCATTTTCGGAATATCCAAATACCGATTGCAGCAGCCACAATTACGGATCCTACAACAATAGCAGCGGTAACCACACTGCCACCACCCGAATCACTTGACCCTCCGCTTGAACTTGAAGAATCACTTGTACTTGTGGGGGAGTTTGTTGGAACTGAATCATATGAATAGGACGTTGACGTGATAGTGATGACGTGGTTTCCGCTCGTTGAAAGTTGGGTTATTGTGGCAGCTTTTGGCGGAGTTGTAGGTGACGGAGCCGAGGTTTGATCTTGAGCAGATGTGGAAGGTTGCTATTACAGATAAAAAAGAAATTTGTGAGAATCCTGTTAAATTAATTCGCGTTATCGGAATTTATTATTAATAATAAGTTCAAAGGTTGAAGGAAAGACTAAAAAAAGGAATATTAAATTCCCATACACTCGCAGCACCCTGAAAGATTAAGGAAAAATCAAGTTCACATGATAGCATATACAGTTGATTTAACGATATCATATGTTTCGGGCAAAACCCATAATTAAATCCGATCGTACTCGCAAAATATAGCACAAGCTTAAATAATCAAAAATACTTACATTATTTCCTTCACTATTATTGTTATTATTATTATTGTTATTGTTATTGTTATTGTTATTGTTATTGTTGTTGTTATTGTTATCGTTACTAGTAGTAGTTGGCTGAGAATTTTTAGACTAATTTACCACAATAAAATGTAAGTAAAATTAGCATCAAAAAAAATTCAATAAAAACTAAATTTTCAATATTTTCAATATTTTCCCTTACAGTATTTTGATTTGGTTGTGAATTTGTCGGCTGTGAAGAAGGAGTGGTATTAGGTTGCGTTGTTGGCTGAGCACTAGTAGTAGGTGTATCTTTTGGTGAATTATCAGTAGTTGGGGATGGCGGTGTATTTGGAGTTGGGCTTGGTGGTTGAACAACGGGCAAAGCTCGTTTATTTTTGCGAATAAAATTGGATGCGGTTACATTTGTTGTTGTGTTGATGATGATGATTAATAGGAAAAGAATGATAAAAATCGAGTGCGAGAACTCAAGTCGTAATATTTTAGCCATTTTTGATATTATTGTGTACGTGCGCGTGAACACTATTTAATTTATTATATTACAATTTTAATTATTAAAAGAGAGTTCTCGACACAAGGACAGCAATAAAAAAAATTTTCACATAAACATAAGCGAAAAATCAGCATACATACCAGAAACAAAAGCCACACAAGTTTAAAATCTTAGTTCAGTTCCAAGGCAAACCACAAAGACACTCTTTTGCTTTTTAATTCAGATTTGAAAAAAATAAAGAAGGAAGAAGCAGGATCCGTGGTAGCCAGACACACGACCCTATTTCCTTTAATGTGCTTGTTTGGTTGACAGAGGGGCTGTATATTGTAACTAACTACCACTAATAATAATTAATATATATATATATATATATATATATATATATATAAAAATATTTATTTTCTTCTCCCGGTTCAGGGAAGAATTTGACAGTTGATTCGAACGATGACGGCGATAATTGTCAAGAGGTAGGCTACCAAGCGACAAAAAATAGGGTCGAGAAAAAAGAGAAGAGATAAAAGTATTAATACAACTAGGGTCTTTATTATTTACTACTACTACCACTACTATTATTTTTATTTATTGTTATTTTATTATTGGATATTATATGGTAGTATTGGTTAGACCGAATGACTGATAACAAAAAAGTGAAAGGGAGGACAAAAAGAGAAACTTACGGTTATTAGTATTCTTGTTGGTGTGGATTTATGGTTATAGGAAATGGGGAAAGGGAACACGGCGTCATACACGAAAACTAAGGCTCTCGAGAAACATTTGTTGGTGTTGAGCCTCATTATTATGCAACAACTTCTAATGATTGGTTCCGAATGCGCGTGTATGTGCAATGTGCGGGGATGTTTCTTTTACGTAATTTATTTTTATATTGCTTGTGCTCTAATATTAAACAGGTGTTTGCAGCAACAAGCACGTAAGCTGCATGGAATATGTTTGATTACTGTGATGTTGTTTCAAAAATTTTATTATAAGCCACCATCACACTTCATCACACTTGAACCTAATAATTAAATAATATAAAATCAGCCACTTTTGTAAAATAAAACCTTTAATCTGATAGCAGCGCGGTCGATCAAAAATCTATACGAATAATAATCAAGTAATAAATTACTTATCGTATTAATTTAATAATTATTAACTGATGTTAATTAATTTTTGCAAGGGAACGAAGATGTTATCATTGTCTCAAAGCTTTACCTAAATTTGGTAATTATCCCACCAATCCCATACTAGCTGGCTAATTAAAGAACACATTTTTTATTCATTCAAAAAAAAAGGATTTGGTCTGACTATTTTTAAAAAGGATGACAAAATAAACTATTTTGTAACATAAGGCAAAAAAATATTCAATCAGCAATTACAGGATCTCGTGATCTATAACATGCTAAAACATTCAATATTCATTTCGAGCCTAAAAATTCTATGCAATTTTTGATTTTTTTATCTCTCTTGTTTGTTAATCTTCTTTACAATGATAATGTTTTGTGATTAATATTGTACTTGATATATTATTAAAATTGACCAATATAAATTAAATATAAAAAAGGTTATATACAAATAAAGCTAAAGGTATTGGTATTAAAGATATCTGCCGCAACTCTAACCGAGGGTTGCAACCCTAATTAAGTCTATAGAAAATGGGTTGCAGCCCAACTACGACCACTTTTTAATTGTTACAAATACCATTAAGTTGGTATAATGTATAAATAAAGTCATAGATTACAAAAAATAGACCAGCATATCGTAGAGCACTACATACAATCTGGAGGTATTGTATGCAGTGCTCTACGGTACGGTCATTCTTATATATGGCTTTTAAAAACCATTAAAATAATTTCATAATATTATTGCCATTACTACTATTAAAAACAAAAATAAAGACACCAAAATCGCCCAATAATACTAATTATTAATATCCAAGGAACAAATGCATCAACACGTAACCAACACTCACCACCAGGAGCATTGTTAATATAGACGCAGGGACACCGGTTTTCAGGAAATCTTTGGTGGTAAGGTACCGAACGCCCATCTCGTCTTCCATCATGATCGCGTTCATGTTTGGGAATCCAGAAACGGGTAAACCCATTGCTGCTGAACACATTAATGCAGAAGCCTATAGAAATATTTTTAAAATTATTACCAAACCCTACCAGCAATAAATGCAATAATATACTTGTGAAACTTATTAACTAACCATGACTAATAAATTTCGATATGATGTATTATCATCACCAAGACTATCGCCCACTTGTGCCACAATCGGTAGAATAATTAGTGCACCGACAGTATGACTGATAAAAGTGGCCACGACAAGAACCAATGTGCAAAAAGTTAACAACACTTCCCATACTGTAAATCCCTGAACCATATCTCTAATCTGATGTGCAATGATAGCCAAAAGTCCCGAACTTTGCACTGCTTTTCCAAGTGCTATTCCTCCCATTGCCAGGATAATCACTGTCCATAAAAAGTTATTAAAATCTTCTTTCGTCAAAATTCCAGTCCCAAAAAATAAGACAAGGGGCAAAATGGCAATTACACCCATATCACCAAGATAAAACTCAAGCTGCTTTTCGGCACACCATAATACTATTGTTATTAGCGTGACAACACAAACGAATATCTGAGTGTTGCTCCAAGGATCTCGTGAAGCTCGAATCGGGTGAATTAGTAATGAAGTTTCCGCAGGTTTATAGTTCCAGAGTAGGATGATCCATATTACGATGTCGGCGAGAATACATAATGGAATGGAAATTATGAACCATTCGATCCATGATGGTTGGGGCATCATGTTTTTAATTGCGATTATGTTTTGTGGTGAGGATATTGGAGACGCCATTCCACCAATGTTTGAGGCAAGTGCAATTCCTAGAATTAGACATCGGCCAAATGAACTATTCGATTGCAAATTACGCAGGATCGGCTTTTTGTATTAAAAAAGGAAATTATTTAGCTATGTTATTACTAAAAAAGAATATGATAATATTAAAAAAAAATACCTGGATCAATGAAAGACATAAGACAGGAGCGGCCACATTGCTAATCCACATGCTAGCAACAGTAGCAACAATCATATTCGCTAATAATACCCAACTAGGTTTTTTGCCTGCTTTCGACAACACATACGTGGCCATCATTTTCGCTATATGATATTTACTAAGTGCTGCAGCGATTGCGAATCCACCTAATAACAACATGATGACAGGCGAAAACATAGCCGCAAAAATGTCTCGTGTGGCATCATGAGCATCTAGTCGCACGTGTAATTCATCATTCGAACGCATTACTCGTAAACAAACAACTAGGAAAGGAATCAGCAATGAAGTGACAAAAAGCGGTATCACCTGCAATTATGTTATTATATTATTAAATGTGCCTGTTATTATACAAGAATAATTTTAATATAACTACCTCAGTTGCCCAAAGTAAACTTGAAAACACTAACAAAGCAAAACAGTTCCGCACTTCAACCGCTTTAAATATCCTCGCTTCCAGTAAAATAGCAAAGACCCCAGTACACGCCGTTAATATGAAAGCAGTTTTCCAATATTCAGCCGACACATTGACCTCTCCAAACGGAGTTTCTATTTTCGAGATTTCCAACTCTTCGACAGTCGGGTGAGCCTTAATACCAACCCCGTGAGATTTTCTCTCCAACCCAATAATATCTCTCCAGATTGTATTTCGTTCCCACACTATAAACTCTCGAAGATGTGTTTTCAGTTCTTTTGCCGCAGCTTTTATATCATTAAAAGTGCAAAGCTTCGCGTAGATTTCTTCCATATGTCGGATATGTTCATCGAGAATTTGACGGCTGGATTTTTTGAAGGGGTAACCTTCGCCTACCATGTTTGTCATGTACGATGATTTGATTTGAGTGCTGTTTGTGATTTTATCGTATTTTTTCAGAATTTTACTGAAACCAGTATGATTCAGACTAACAAAAGATTTGAGTTCGGATAACCAGACATAAACTTCCGTTGTACGTTTCTTTAGACGAATTCGTTCAGCTTCGATCAATGGGTTTGACCAAAAATGATAAATTCGCTGTTCATCCTCTGTTAATTGAGGGTTATGATGATATGAAATTTCCAGTAAATTAGTCTCATCATTGACAGGTGAGTTCAACTGATGTTCATCATCATCGCTACTTAGAAAGGAACCGGCACTTCCCGAACTATACCGTTGTCGTGTCGGTTTTTTCAATATCTGATTCAGCGAATCCGACGAATCAAAAGACCGACTAAAATTTCGTCGGGATGGAATATTAATGGGCAATGTTTCAAAACTTTCGACATAAGCAACATCAGCCAAAAGTTTCTCTGTTTCTTCGAAAACCTCTTTTTCTTTGCTAACGTAGAATGTCGTAATCTTTTCCAATTCCTTATCAAGTGCTGGAATGAAAATTGTATTTGCACGAGTTTTCGAATCAAGTAGAAATGTTTCTTCTGTTGGTTGTGCTGTTTCTGTGTCTCCTCGTGCATCAATTGATGTTGAAATAATATCTCTTTCGATTTGATAGATTAGTTTTTTGAGATTAGAATATCTATTAATTGTTAAGGAAATAATTAATTTCACGTCCAATTAAATAATCGCATAAAGTGTTTCTCGGTTTAGTAGCAGGTTTTTATGGTCCCTAATCTTTCATGCTTAACAATAAAAGGATACGCTATATAGTGTTCAGCCCAGTCAGGAACCGAGTTGAATTGAAGAGTATGTGAAAACTTCATGTTCCAATTTCAAGAAGTTTTGATTAAAAGAGACGGACAAAAGAAAAGTCAAGTAATGATAATTAAAATATGAGAAGAATCCAATAAGAAAAAGTCAGATCAATTACACACAAGTTCTCTATGTATTACAAGCTACGAATATTATTAAAGCCAAGTCAACAGATGGCACGTAACATTAAGATAAGGGATATTTTCTTGTATGGGGAGTAATTTACCTTTCCGTAAGTAGTCTGGTGCACTTGGAAAGAACGCGAATCGGTGTATTTATCGTTATACAACGATAAATTAGATTTTTGGTAAAAAGCTAATCGACGACGACCCAATCACATAATTTTTTTAGGAAACGTTTCACTGCGGGAATTTGACAGCTGATTAAGGGGGAAATCATCATGATTTCAGACGTGTATCAATGCAAGACGGTTTATTTCCTGATGAGACTAATTTGATTTCAATCGGAAGAATTCGGATCTTATTGTGATTGAGATTCAATTTTGGCTTTTGAAGATTTGAATAAATGAATAATTTGATTATTGATTCGATCGAATTAAGCCAATTTTGTTCGTACGATAAAGATCTTTCATCAACGAAAGTCTAAAATTTTACTTACAAATATTTTGCTGTTGTGTAATGAGAATTTTTTGTTTTTTCTTGTAGAGATAAAACTTTATTAGTAGAAAATTTTTTTGTTTTCATGTCAACCTGATCCAAAAAATAAAGCAATCGATTTGGATCCGAATTTTTTGGATTGATCTGTTGCGTATACAGTGACTCGCAAAAAGAAACGAAAAGTGGGAAAATTTTACGAAAAAAATTCCAGTGTCTCCAACATCGATTAAATGTATCTGGTTTTCTATACTCATTTTAAAACTAATAACCTAGAGAAAAAAATGTAGATCATTTAATTTCTTTCGAATGGCAATATATTAACATATTTTTTTTTAGACGTTCTCTAGGTTATTAGCTTTAAAATGACCAGATGCATATAATCAATGTTAGAGGCACTAGAATTTTTTCCCTACTTGATTTTCATATGGTATCATCAATATCAGATTGATAATCGAACAATTAAACTCTCGGGCTGAACATAAATAATTCATATTTATTATATTAAATTTTTGATATAACGAACTATATTTATATAAAATTCATTATAAACAATATTATATGTAATTTCATTATATATAAAATATATTTTTAGTATTTTAATAATTTTACCTTACCTTATTTGGCATATATAAACTGATTTAACCATGTCATATCTATATTTTGTGGTAAATTGAAGATTGAATATAAAGCAAGTTGGTTGGTGTAAATTTGTTGTTTTTGCTCGTATTTATAGGAATAGTTTTTTGCCATTTTAACTTTTGCTTTTCTTGTTTAAGGCATGCTTTTAATTTCATCAGTTTTAGGACATTCTAAAGAGCTGTATTACTAAAAATGCAAATTATTCAACTTCATATTGTATTTATGATATCTTCAGTAAAGTAGATCTGATAAGTCTCGGAGTTTCTCAGCAGGAACCCAACATTTTTCAATTATAAATTTCATGCGTGCCAAAGAATTTTCACCCGATCTTTTTAAGGACCATGGAATCCTTATTGCAACAAAAACATTAATTTTGATAGTAAAGCTTAATATACTTCGCATCTAAAATTTCAAGTACCAAACCGAACATGCATAATACTTTCAAAAAGAACAAAAATCAACATCAGCAAACAATTCACAATAATTGGTAGCAGTTTCCACGAAAAAGCAAAAAGTTGATGAATTTCTCGAAGCATGGGTAACAGCTGATATTCCCTCGAAAAAATAGATGAGTTTTGGGATTTTTTGGGGAAATATTGCAAGGAGGGAGATGCTATTATACATTGCGCTTTAGACATCTCAGAGATTTATGATGCACATAATGAAAATTCAATCAGCTTTTGCGAACAGATTACCGATTCCATGTGATCAATACTATCGTAATATAACAATCTCAACGATGTTGATAATATAATAATTGATGGTCAATACCATTTTCTTCTGTTTCAGAATGTGCTTAAATCTGTAAGATTTCAAATAAAGCACAATAATTGCTCCACGTATATAATAAACTTGATCTTAATTTATTATATATAATTATATTTATTGCTAATTTTTTTTAAATAAAGTGAAGCATAAATTTCATCTTTTAACTTTGAAATTGTAAAAAGGTTAATTGCTAATATTAAGAAAGCTTTTGTACATGTCAAGACTTATTGTAATTAGAATATAATATTATGAAGTTAGATCAAGTAAGTTATTTTATAATATTAATACTTCAAAGATTATCCTGCAATTTATGTCTTTGCTAAATATAACCAGATAAATAGCTAATATAAAATGACTTTTTATGTTAGTAATTATTTAAAATTTCTAAAAGAATTTTTTGAGAAGAAAAATAAATTAATTCAAATAACAATATTAATAAAATTGTTATATTTTTTAATAATTTATCTTATTTTTATTTATAATTATATTATTTATTTTATTTTTTTTGATTATTTTCAATATAAACATGATTTTATTTTCTCTTGAAATTTTTCTTGAAATAATATTATTTATATTACTTTTAGTAAAAAAAATTGATCATTATATTTATAAATATAATATTTTTCTTAATATTTTTAAATTTACTTAATTTTAAATATAATGATAATTAAAAGTAATACAATACTTAAATTTTTTACTAATTATAATTAGTAAAATATGTAATTTTTCTTATATATAAAAGTTTTTAATTTTATTAACAAATATTTTTTATTTTTAGCTCAAAAAATAACTAAAATTCTTTAGTTTAATATATATTTTTTTCAGAATTTTCAGATTTTTTACTAGTAATTTATTCTAATTACATATAAAATTAATTAATTTTTATTAATTAATAATTATGATAGATTAAAATAAATTCAGATTAAAATGAATTCTGATTCTTTTTTTATATATATAATATATGATTTATATATATAATTATGTATCATATAAATATATATATAAATATGTAATTATATATAAATCACATACTATTAATAATAATATATTATAATAAGAGAATAGTTAAAGTATAATCTGAATAAGAGTAATGATTAAAGTAGAGAACAAGATTATATAAAAAATTATAATTTTAACATTTTTTATATCTTGTATTAGATTTATTTTGTATCTATAATAAACTATACATTTAAAAATAATAATGCATTATTAAAATAATAATATATAATTATAATAATAATATATTATTATATCTTAAAGTTTTTATTATTTGCTCAAAGATAATAAAATTATTTTTATTTAAAGAAAATTTATCTCTATCTCTTTTAAAAAAATCTATCTGTTTTAATTATCTATCTTCTATTATCTATCTTTCACTATTTGCTTTTCACTATCTGCTCTCTGCTATTTATTGTTTATCTAAGTTTTTTTAAGTTTTTTATCACAAAAATCTTTATTTTACTATTGATTTTAACTCTTATAATCTTATTATTATTATATATAGATATAATCTTCTTACTATTATTACATATTTGCTTTAATTTTCTTATTTTTTGATTAGTATTATTATAATATGAACTTTTAATAGAATAATAATTAGTTATATATTATTGATTGCTTCATATTATAATATAATTAAATGAATAATTACTTATATTTTATTGGATATTAACTTTAAAAAATATTATTTGTAGATATTTTTAGAAGATTTTGCAAACATAATGATCATGGCAAAATTATCATAGCAAAGTTAATAAAACTATTATAACAAAACTAATAATATTATTATAATAAAACTAATATTATGATACTAGCTAAAGTAACATTTGGATCATAGTAAAACTAGCATAAGTATTATAATAAAAATATTATTTATATAATCTCTAAAATATATAAAGTAATATATCTTAGCTAATAAATTTAGACAGTCAGTTAAGAAATTAATTAATAGTTAGATATTTAGTTAATTAATTTAATTTAAGTTCTATAAGTTTAGTTCTCAATTCACATTTAAGTAGATTTTAGTTTTAAGAGAATTCTAAGAAATCTCTCTTGTAGAATAAATCTTGATTATTTCATCTTGTTAATAAACTAAACAATTATATTTATCTTGAAATTATATTTTAGAATTGAACTATATTCTAGCTAGTCACAACAAGAATACTATCATTATCTACTTTTAAATAAATAATAGTATTTATATTCTTGTTAATAAATATTTTAAAGACTCTTTCAAATATTATTATAAGCACATAAATACTTTTATTATATGCTTTTATAATATTAAATTAATTCTCACTCTCAGAACAGAACTCATACCAAAAAGATAATAACTTTTTGGTATTTCCTCTGTAGAAAAATAATTCTATAAGATAATTAAATTCAACTCAGATATAGATAAAAAATTCTCTATGAATTAAATTAAAATTAGTAAAGAATTAAAAGTAACTGAAAAAATAATTTTGTAATATATCAAAATGGATCCAACCAAAGAAATTAAAGTAGAAAAAGAAGGACTCTTCACTCAATTATTTACTAAGTTACATTTTGAAGATTATACTGAATCTGATTATTAAGTTATCTAAGAAAAATTTTATCATTTTCATCAAGAAGTAATATATAGTAAAACTTAAACCAAGGCAAGAAAAACTTTCATAATTTTAATTGAAGAGAAAACTAATCTATTAACAGAATAAATATAAATATATCTTTACAAACTATAACAAGAAATACTTGAATTTAAAGACAAAAAAAGCAAATATTTGACAAAATAAAGATAAAGAAAGCAACAAGACATACCTGTAGAAATATCTAGCTTGAGTCAATCAAAATCAAACAAAGAATTATTAGATATCTTGCAATAGTTTAAAAAATATAATTCAGATATCCTTGAACAGATATTAGTGTAATCATCACTTAATAAATACTTAGAAACACAACTAATTACTCAAGATATACCTATTACTTCAATCTTTATTTTCTTAATA